GAAAGCATGCTCGCCTCGGCAGCAGGGGTTGGCAGCCTTACCGATCACACTGCAGAGCAGGCGCAGGCTGGTGGTATCCCCCTCGCCACTGTCGCGGGGATTGTCCTTCCAGGATGGCGGCAGTGGGATCCGGAGACCGATGGGGCGGTGGAACTTCCTCCGACGCGGCTCCACCGTGACGATGGGGCTGAAGGTCGCCTGGTTCCCCAGCAGCTTAGTCACCAGCTCGTCGGGCACAGGTTGTGCCTGCGGGCAGCACAAGCATGGGCATCAGGGCGGCTGGGGGACAGCCTGGACCTGCTGCCTACCCCTTCCTGCCGGAGGCCAGCTGGGCCCAGGGCCAGGCTCTCCGGGGCTCACCTGCAGGGCCAGCCTCACTCTTTTGGTGACAGCTGTGTCTGGGAAGGTGGCCTGTACCATGGGCACCAGTGTACTTTTCAAACACCCTCCCTCGGGTCCGATCATATCGCAGTCCTGGCAAATCCGGGACATGACCACGAAGTAGAGAGGGAAGTCGGTGGTGATGATGCGGCAGACCCTCTTCTTCTCCAGCTCCTCTAGGCTCTCCAGCTCTGCAAGGGCAGCACAGCCATCAATGCTCACACATCAAGCCCATGGCTGTCACCCCCCACCCACTCTGAGCTGTACCGACCACACCATGCTCATCCCCATCCCACCATCCAGGCCAGCCGCAGCCCCGCGTGCAGGGAGCCGCATGCTGCCAAGCCCTGACCTGTCAGGCTCGCTCACCCTCATCCATGCCATTAAGCAGCTGGTCCATGTAGCTCTCCTCATAGCGGTTGCGGTGCTCCTTCCAGATAGAGCCGTTCTCGCTGCGCAACACCACCAGCTCACGGTCTCCACGTCCGTATGAGGCAAAGTGTGGGATCTCCACAATGACGGGGCTGCAGACAGCAGAGGAAGGGTGCTTGCACCCACATGCTGCTGCTGGGACACGCAGGCAGCAAAGGTGACCCTGGGCAGAGCACCTGCCCGTGCTGTACAGCCACTGAAGGAGTAACCAGGACTGCTCACACCCCTCTCTCTGGGAAACGGGGCTCTGCGCCCGGTGGGACAGTGCTGGTCAGGGCTTTTCCTACCACAGCATGGCCACTGCTCTGTTATGCTGGTATAACCCACCTCAGAAACGTGTTGTGCCTGGCTGGAGGTAAGATCTCTCCTGCACCAGACCCCCAAAAGCAGAGATGGGCAGAGGTCTTGCCCCAGCTGGCAGAGACTCCAGAGGAGCCCAGACCCTTCAGACAGCCCCGGTGTGGGTAGTCCCATCTGCTCTGTTCCCAGCTGTGCTCACCTGAGGAACTGGGCTCCGGCGGGCCCCAGGGCGATGATCCGGCTGGCCAGACCCTCCTCCTCAGCCAGTGGTGGGGGCGCAGGCAGCTTTTGGGGCTTCACCAGGCGGCAGGTGATGCGGGTCGGCGCAGCACAGGCACGGGGCGGGATGACCACGCGCAGTCCATGATGCCGGCTGCCCCGCATGGAGCCACCACGGGCATCCACCATGAAGCTCACCAAGAACCTGGAGCAGGCAGAGGCACGGGCAAGTGGACACCTTGCAGTTGGCTCATGGGCAGAGTGTGTGTGTGCTGCATGGGCTGGGCACTCACCCTGTGTGCACGGGGCTGGCAACTGGGCTGATGTTATCTGAGGTCTCAGTAGCGGGGCTGCTGGGGATCAGGGAGTCCTCATCAAACTCCTTGGAAGGCTGTGTAAGGCAGGGAAGAGCCCCCATGGGCACAGGGTCCTATTTGGGGGTGCTGAGCCTGCCCACCCTTCCATAGTCTCACAACCCTCCCAGGGCAGTCCCGTACCACTGGGTCCATCCCCACCCGGTGCTCACCTCCTGCGGGGACACTGAAGGTGCATGCAGCAGGCTGACTTGCTCAGCTTCTGTCTCCGCAGGTCCTACCTGCTCAGTCTCCTCTGCTCTTGTCACCACAGTCTCAGGTGGGATGCAGGGGACCTGTAGGACAGCTGGAGACTCCACCCTGGCAGGA